AGGGTCTGCCTGCGTGCGAGGATTTGGCAGGAAGCCTCTCCTAGGGCCGGCACACACCCTGCAGGGCTCCCTGGGGACAGACACCCTGGGACCCGGTGGAGTGTGGCTTCTCATCCAGCAGGGGTGGGTAGGGCCTTGGACTCTCCTAGGCCAGCGCTGTTCGGTAGGAATAGTGTGTGAGCTGCGTATTTAAAAAGTAGGGAGAAATAAGTAAAATTCATCTTAATAAAATATTGCATTTCACTGCATGTACTTTGAAAATAGTATCTCAATAATGTAGCGAATGTAGAAACTATCAGTTATTTTTTACTTTATTTTTTGTAGTGAGTCTAGGAAAGCTGTAGGTGCCTTACATTTATTTACAGCACTTCTGAGTTCAGACTGTTGGCTGACGTGCCCAGTGACCACAGGGCTGACGGCGGGGGGGTGGGGGAGTGGGGGGGGTGGGGGAGGGCAGAGCAGTGTGCCCTTCGTGCGTTCTTGTCCCATGCCCGTGCTGTTCCCGGTGTCTGCGTCTGTCTCCTCGTCCTCCACCTCGCTGGCTCTGCGGTTTGAGCACCGTCTTGCCTCCTCTCAGAGTCCAGCCGGGACACAGGATGCCCCTCTCAATTGGCACAGACAAACCAGACACGCAGCTTCTGCCTTTGCCCCATTTCGGTGGGTGAACCTAGCATCCACCCAGGTGACTGAGCTAGAAGTTGACAGTCATTCTCCTACCCTCCCACCTAGCACACCCAGCACACCCAGCCAGGCAGGCCCTCAGCTCCACCTCCTAAATCTCCCTCTGAACTGAACTTCATTAGAAAATCAGGAATCTGGAGTCGGAATTGATGGGACGCAGCTGAAGCAATGCTTAGAGGAAAACCAGCTTGAATGCTTGTATTAGAAAAGAAGGGTTTAAAACCTGAGGTTTTTACCTTAAGAAACAAACAAACAAAAAAAGCAAGGAACCCTCTAAAGGAAGGCCGTAGTATAGACAAGAACAGAAATGAATGAGGCAGGCCAGGCGAGGCGGCTCACACCTGTAATCTCAGCACTTTGGGACACCAAGGTGGGCGGATCACTTGAGGTCAGGAGTTCAAGACCAGCCTGGCCAACATGATAAAACCCTGTCTCTACTAAAAATACAAAAAAGTGGCCGAGCGTGGTGGTGCGCGCCTGTAATCCCAGCTGCTTGGGAGGCTGAGGCAGAAGACTCACGGCTTGAACCCTGGAGGTGGAGGCTGCAGTGAGTCGAGATCACACCACTGCATCCTGGCGAGTGCGCCTTCCCCCAGCACCTGCCGCCTGGCAGCCGGAGTCGCCTTCTGTGTGCACCGGGAACGGCCGCTCCTTCGTCACCCCGGGAGGGCAGGGGCTTGGGTCTGCTCTGTTCACTGCTCAGCATGGTGCCCAGCTGGTGGGGCTTTCATAAGCGTTGGTTGGATGGGTGGACGGACGGGTGGACCAACCACAGCCCGGTGGGCACAGGTGCGGTAGAGCGGGGTCCAGCCCTGCTGGGTCTGGAGGGTGTTCTCCACGGTGCGACGATGAGAGCCTGTAGAAATAAAGACGTGGGACGCTGAGATGGAGGAGAAAGAGTTTGGGCGCAGGGGTCCGCCGCCACCAGTGCTCAGGGAGGCCGGCATGGCCCCGAGTGCCTGGACACTCTGGCTTTTATTAGGTACAAAACGGCGGCAGGGTGAGTGGGGTGAATTTCAGACAGCTCACGTGTCTAAGGAACCAGGGGCCCCGGGCTTGCAAGTATCCGAAGCGGGGGGCAGTGAGACGCCTCAGCACCTTGTGGTATACCTGCCAAGTAAGAACAAAAGCTCCAAGGACGATGCTGCTTCTTAAAGAACCAGGTGCAGAAGTAGGGAGGGAAAGCAGACACACTGCACCCGGCATAGCACAGCGCCACGCAGAGACAGCGAGGCCCCGGGTAGCTGCGTCGGGCTGGCCGGTCTCAGTCCCTCCTCAAGCTGGTGGGGAGTGGCGTGCTCTCCGGCTCACCCAGGGACAGGGGCTGTGCCCTTCCCAGGCCTGCTGAGTCTCGGGTGCTTCCCCAGCACTGGTGCTGCCGCAGAGATTGAGATGCCCTCCAGCAGCGGTGCTGCGGCCGTGACGGAGGGCTGGGCTTCGGCGTTGAGCAGGTCGCCTCTGCTGGGCGCACCGGCCGGTGATGCCCGGCAGGTATTCCTGCCCTTGCCTTGTGGCCACATTTTATAGTGTCCCTTATCAGTCTCTGACCACAGCAACCCGGAGTTCATAGATGATTGCGCATAAAGTATAAGAAGGCTTCAGTCAAGGCTTAATATTCAATAAGACCGTGGTCTAATCACTCAGGACACTTACTCCTAACCAGATTCTTCTTTCTATATTCTGTTTATTAAACAGGAACTGGCTGAGGCCTCAGTCTCCTGCCTCAGCACTTAGGAGACTTTCTACCCACACGGTAGCTCCCACCCACTCTCCTGGATGTGCGGGGCACCCTTTGGCCCCAGATGTGGGCTTGGGAGTCCAGGGACTGTGATCTTGTCTCCGAGTTCCTGCTGGGAGTGGACGTGTGGCCTCCCCAGCCCCTTGCTTGGCTGGCGGGCAGCTCCGAGAAGCTGCTGTGAAGCGCAGGGCTGAGGGCGGCCACCTTGGCTGTCTGGGGTCTTGCTGGCCACACAGCGGGTTGTGGGTCCAGGACCCAGTTCTGCAGGGTTTTTCAAGGCAGGAGGCTTTCAGAGCTAAATCTGGCCACCCAAGGAAGGGGAGAGACCCTTCCCCATGGCCTGCCTGGCCGCCTCACAGGGCCTCCGGGTTTGGGAGGAGCAGACGCAAGGCACCCCGCAGGGTCACTCTGTGGCTTGGGGGCGAGGTGTTCCCTTTGCTCGCAGCCCTGACCGGAGGTAGCTTTTGTGAGCAGTGCAGAGAGGTGCCCTGAGCCCTGCTTTTCACGGCTCTGCTGTGGGCGGATCTTAGCCGTGCCTCCTCCCGTCAGCTGGGTGTCCTTGGGCAGTGAGCTTCCCGCACCGCTGTACTCGGCGGCCCTGCGGCTGCCTTTCCATCACGGCAGGTGCTGCCCCTGCATCGCGTGCGGGGCTCATGGGGCCGTTCCCAATGGTTGGACTCCCCAGGGGGCCGGTGACACATGGTTCCAGGAGCCAGCCTGGAAATTCATTCCTGACGGGCTCTGGGGGACAGACCCTGTGTGGAGAAACTGGCTCAGGATCGAGAACCTTCGCTGCTTTTGGGGGTGGACGGAACCCTTGACAGCCCCAGCAGGGCAGCAGGTGTGGGGCCCAGTGGGCATGGCGGCCAGACTGAGACCACAGTGCCAGGTCTGGGGCTGAGGAAGGAGGGGCGGCAAGAGTCCAGCCGGTGACAACAGTGACACCTGGTGGCCTGGAAGGTGCCAGCCCCGGGCCCAGAGCACAGCAGCCTCATTGCGCGGAGGGGCCGTTTACAGATGCGGAAACTGGGGTGGGCGGGGGGAGGGGGCAGTCACGTGCCTGAGGCCACACTGCTGGGAAGAGCCGGGCAGCCTGGCCAGGGCCTGTGAGGGCCACTGCGCCACTGAGCTGGCCACTAGCCCACTGTCTGCCACTGGCACCTGCACGGTAAGGCCCAGACTCCCTGGGGGCTGCCACCCTGCCCTGCCGGGGCCTCCTCCTCCTCTGGTCTGGGCTTCTGCTCCTTGAGGCTGGACTGACCTCATGGGCCGCATGCATTTGACCCCAGGGGCCTGGGCGACATCCTTCATCGTCACCAGCACCGTCTGCCTTGTGTGCACCCTGCCAGCCACAAAGGGAAGGTGGTGCAGGACTCAGGCCGGCGGCATCGGGGGCGCGAGGGGTGGGCCTGGCTGACCCCAGGCTCGTGGCTGCACCCAGCCACACCAGCCAGTCCAATGAGCGCCCCTGGGCCGGGGTGCTTTCAGGGGACACTCCTGACTTGGACAGGTGCCCGGGGCCGGGTGTGCTCTGACTTGGATGACTCAATGTGAAGGGGCTCACCAGAGGCCCCAGATGCAAGGTCTGGGGGCCCAGATGCGTTGGGGCAGGTCACCACCAGGTGCAGAATTGTTCCAGGTCAAGGTGGCCAGAGAGGGAGATGGGGGGGCCTCCAAGGGAGGCTGGAAGCGGCCGTGCAGGGCGTCCCTAAGGCACGCTGGTCAGCAGGACCTCTGGCCTCTCACCCTCCCTCAGCTTTGTGCAGGTCTGAATTTATTTCCAAGTAAAAAAATGAAATACATGCAGGACTCTGGGTCTGGTTCCTGCCTGGCCACTGAACCTGCCTGTGCCTCGGGCTTCTCATCTGTGAAATGTAAAGGAAAATAGTTTCTGCTCGGGGCTGCCGTGTGAGCAAATGTGTGTGAGTGCGTGCAAAGCGCCGTGGCCGGAGCCTGGCATGCAGCAGCGGCGGTGCTGGCTGGCACCAGAGGTGGTGGCGGGGGTCAGGGAGTGTGGCCACTTCCTCTGCAGGTGAGCAAACCAGTGGCTCAAGGCTCACGCAGCCAGGGATGGGCAGGTCCCACCACCCACCTTGCTGCTTGCCCTGGGATGGCGCTGCCCAAAGGAGGTGGTGTGGGCACAGCCAGAGGCAGGGGGTGGCACCGAGGCTCAGCCTGGAGGCCTCAAGCCCTGTGCAGCTGGATGAGGTGGTGGTGCCACCCAACCGGGGAGTGGCCTGGCCACTGGGGCTGAGAAGAGGCCCAGGTGTGGTGGAGGCCCTGCCCGTGGTCCCCAGCACCCCCAGGATGTCTTCAGAGTCAGCGGCTTGCAGAAGGGGGTGCTCTGAGCACGGGGTGCTTCCTGGGCGGGTCGTCTGCATCCTGGTTGGCTTTCCTGGCTCTGCAGAGCTCTGCCCTGCCACTGTCCCCGCCCCCAGACCAGGACCCGGCTCACCCTCTGCAACGCGTCCTGTCCCAGAGCGCCAAGTGGCTGTCGGGGCTCGGGGCTCTGTGCCAGGGGCCTCAATGCGGATGTGGTGAAGTGGGGGTTTGTCTGAGACGGTGTCTCTCTCTGTCCCAGATGAAGGTCACCGTGTCCAAAGGGGGCGACCGGGACAGTGATGATGACAGCGTCCTCGAAGCCACCAGCTCCCGGTGGAGCAGCTCCCGAGACCCACTCAGCGATGTGAGTACCCAGCTGCCCGTGCTCGGAGCTGCCTTAGCCTGGGTCACCTGTCCAGAAGCCCCTGGTCGGGGGCCTGATTTCCCATGGAGGCTGTGTTTTAGCCGTTAGCATCTTGCCTTCGTTAAAGCAGCATCTTCGACTCATTAGGACTTTCCCTGTTAGGAGGGATTTAAATGAGGAACACGATGAGCTGGCCCTGGGGCTGGAGGGCAGGCAGATGGTGGCTGCTCCTCGAAACAGGCATCCCCGGGCTGCCACTGGGGTTGCCTGGGTCGCAGTGGCTCCTGTCCTGCTGCCGGGGACACCCACTCACCTCGTGGGCTGGGACAGGAGACGGGCGGAGTGTGGCGGGCGGCAGGAGCCGGGGTTTGTTCCACGTCAGTGGAAGGTGCTTCTCTCACCCCGAGCGAGTCTGGGCCGAGCATCCAGCCTGGCTGTCGGTGTGCCTGTGCCAGGCAGGGTACACGCTGACCAGGGTCAAGAAGACACACCTTCCGTGTCCCTGAGAGAAGTCTCTGGGCACCAGGTCCCCAGGGGTCCGGGACCCCCACACGTGGGGTCACAGGCAGGATTTGGCCAGTCACGGAGCTCTCCCCTGAGAGCGTGGCCGTGGGAGCATCGGGCCGTGGCTGTGGTGAAGCTGGAGCAGCCCACCCCAGGAGGAGGCCATTGGCACCCCTTTCCCAGCTCCTGCAGGTGAGGGGCAGTGGACGGGTTTCCTGTGGGCCTGAGTGGAACCCAAGGTGTCTCGGTATCATTTAAGCCGAGGCCTCACTGCCCAGCCTCCTGGCTTGTCGCCACGAGATAGGACACAGGCCGAGAACTATCTGGGCCGTCGCTGCCCCGGGTGAACGAGGTCACATTCTGAGCACGACACAGCAGCTGGGGCTGAGCTGGAAACTCAGGGCGACCAAGGCCCCCCCACCCTCTGGCAGCCAGGAACTGGCAGGTGGGCCATCAGGACCCAGGGCCTTGGGCTCTGTCCTCTGACACCCGGGGCCCCTCGAGCTGTCTGGGGAAGGGGAGGGGATGTCTTCTCTGACTGCAGTGGGGGTCATGGATCCATTCGGGAGAGTGGGGGGCTGCCCTCAGCTGGCCCCAGAACCCCATTTTCCTCCTCTGCCCCTGCCCCTCAGAGGGGGTGTTGGATCTTTACACCTGCCCCCCATTCCCCAGGCTGCTCTGGACCCTCTCTGTGTGCCCCAGCCATGCCAAGTCCTCAGCCCCACCCTGCCCAGCTCCGTGAGCCGCCCCATCCACTGCAGCAGCTCTGAGCCTGCTTCCCCACCCTCCTGCTGAGGGAGACCCTGGTGTGGAGCTGATGTGACCCACAGCTCTATCCTGAAGGCCTCACAATACCTGCTCGAAACAGAGGGAGCCCCACCAAGGGTTATTGGGGTCCTCCAGCAGCCCTCCAGACCAAAGCGTTCCTGCTGTCTGAGGGGCCCCCGGCTGCCATACCCGCTCCCCGTCAGGTCAGGCCCCTGTGGTGAACCCTCCTTGGAGGGGTCCACCTGGTACCTCCTCCAGGAAGCCTTCCCTGACCAGCCAGGACGCCCTCCCTGAAGTCCTGCAGTTGCAGACCCCTCTGGTGGGTGGGCATGGAAGGAGGTCAGCAGAAGCTGGGGCCCCAGGCTGGCCTCCCGCAGGGTTTCCTGCCTCCTCTGAGGAGCGTTTCTGGCAGGGCCTTCCCTCTTGGGGGCAAGGAACTGGCCAAGGGTGTCTCCATGGGAGCCTCCTCGGGTTTGGACCCCGGAGCAGGGGAGCCTCCCACTGACTGGGCCAGGAGGACAGCAGCTCCTAGGGAGGACCCCGCCACGCCGCCCAGCTCTGTCCTCCCCCCCCAAGGCCTCAGCCCTGGCGGCCCCTGCCTGGGAGGACGTCTCCCTGGTGATCGTGGGTCTGGGCATCTGGACCTGCCCCACCTGGGACAAGCACTCAGCTGGGTTATGGGCTGCAGGGCAGGCGGCCAGGCGCGTCCCCAGGAGTTGGGGTCCGAGCCGCGGCGCCACTGACTGTCCTTCCTTCCTTCTGCAGAGCTCTGCGCAGGCGGTCTCGGGGAGAGGCTACTCCGTAAGTCCCCCAGCACCCCCCACCATCTTTGTCCCCCTGGGGCCCCGTCTCACCTGTCCGAGGCTCCGCAAGCTGGCTCGCCCTTGTCCCATGCCCACTTCCCTCTGGAGCCCCAGACTGGTTCTGGCCTCAACCACCATGGGGCCAGCGGTGGGTGGACAAGTTCCAGAGCGAAGATTCGGGGGAGCAGACCCTGCTCAGGGTCTGCCGGGGCCCCCCAGGCTGACATGCTGCCCTGGGGGAACAGGCTGGCCCTGTGGCTGTGGCCCCGCCAGGAGCCTCAGAGTGGTCAGCCTGCACAGACCCCAGCCAAGGCTACGGATGCCGGGATCCGCGGGGCCAGGGCCGGGTTGCTGCCTGGAGTCCTGTTTGGGGCCTGGGACATTTCGTGTGGGAGGTGCCGTGTGTGAGCAGCTGCCTCCAACGCCCTGACCGGCACATGCCTCACCCTGGACAGAGAGGCCTGGGCCCCGGCCGGGCACTGCAGGGCAGTGCCCAGGGAGCTGGTACCCCGTGGCCAGCAGGGAGACCTGCATGCAGCCTACGCGACTCGTGTGTGCAGGGGGTGGGGGAAGAGCATGGGTGTGCCTGCCTCCATGTGGGTGCGCGTGGCATGGTGGAGGGCTCCTTGCAGGTGTGCCTGGACTGGGAGGCTGGGTGCCGACCCCTGCCCTGGACTTGGAGGCCCAGCCCCACCTCCCTGGCCCCCAGCGCCACTGTTCCCCAAGGAGCAGCCCTGCCCCTCCTCAGGGATTTTATTTCTCGATTTTATTTCCTTTTAAGTATCGGGAGGAACGTTAATGACATCATAAAACCCAGAGCTCGGTAAGAGCCGTTTCTGCAGATTGACGGCCTGCTCAGCTCATTGTGGGGGTGGGGGCGGACTCCGCACACATCATCCATGCAGCCCCTGCATGATCCAGGGCTGGAGAGGCTCCCTCACTAAACCACAGCAGCTTTACAGGGCCTGTAATTAGCCCATTAGTGACCTGGTGTGGCCAGGCCCAGGGGGACAGTCCCCCACTCCCTCCGTCCCGTGGCTTCTGCTGGTGGCAGAACAGGAGGTGGTGAGGGAGCCACATGTGGTGTGGCCACAGGCTGGGAGTGGATCCCACGATCCCTGGACCCTTGGGCGTCCAGGGGAGGAATTGGCCACATGGCTGGGTCACAGCAGGGGCTCAGCTGGGCCCTCCACACCCCACCCCAGCTTTCCCGAGGCTGCCCTCTTGCCTGAGGGTCTGTCTAAAGCCCAGGGCTCTGCTCTGCCACCCTGGGCTCTGCCACCCTGTTTCTGGCTCTACCATCCTGGGCTCTGCCACCCTGGGCTTGGCTCTACCACTGTGGGCTCTACCACCCTGGGCTTGGCTCTGCCACCCTGGGCTCTACCACCATGGGCTCTGCCACCCTGTGCCCAGCTCTGCCACCCTGGGCTCTGCCACCCTGGGCTCGGCTCTGCCACTCTGGGCTGGACTCTGCCACTGTGGGCTCTGCCTTTGGCCTCTCACCTGGTTTGGCCCAGAGTCCATGAGTTGTTGACCTGGGGTGGCCGGAGCTCACTTCTGGGCAAGGGTTCCTGGAGCAGCCGCCTGCCCAAGGGGCCTCCTCCTGGGGCTTTCCTTCCTCCCGTGCAGCTCGGGGCCTTGGGCAGCCTTGCTTTGTCGTCTGTGCGTGGAGGGCAGCCCCTCAGAGGAGCTGTGGGTGTCCTGACAGCTGTTGTCATGATTACGATGACGTAGCCCTGCCCTTCTCCCTGTGGTGTCCTGGGCAGGTCATCAGCCACATTCTCACAGCCGGGCTCCTATAGTGCGTGCTTGGGGTCCGAGTGTGGAAAAGGGCCGAGGCCACCTGGCCAAGTGGGGGTGCCCTGAGCCCATCCCGCCATGCAGACTCCATGGGCAGAGGAGGGCTGTGGCTGGCGGAGGTGCCAGACGAGGGTGTTCGTAGCATCTCTGAGTGCCAGCTCACTGTGGATCAGAATGGATCAGAATGGGGGCCGGGTCCTATGTGCTGGAGAGAGGGCTGTGCCCCGTTGCGGGTGAGGTGTGCGCGTGTCAATTCCTGTGGCCACCCCAGCGGGTCTGTGGCCCCAGGGCACCTGGGTGTCTCTACCCTGAGCCCCGAGGCGCCCTTCTGCTTCTGAGTCTCCATTCGTTATTCAGGTCTTCTCCGTAAAGCTCTCTTAGTGTCTTCTGAGAAAGCCCATCGTTACCTTGTCAGCTGCTTGCAGCTTAACCCCCGCTGCCGAAGTGACAGATGGCGGTGGCCAGGGAGTGGGGCTGGCCTGCCACATGGGGGATGCGGTCCCCTCCAAGCCACAGGAGCCAGGAGGACCCCGAGGCTTGCAGCTGGTCCTGTGTGTGTGCTGGAACCTGGCACACAAGCCTGTTTCATACGCTGGCACGTGCAGATGGGCCCTGCGTGTGCCAGTGTGTGAACAGGGCCCTGGCCCAGCAGCGTCCTCGGACTCCCATGCTGTCAGCCCCGGGGGCCACTTGTGTCTGGCATGTGGGGGGCTGCAGGGGAGAGCCCAGGCTTCAGGCAGGCAGCAGGGAGACGCCCGGCCTCCTCGGAAGTGCTCTGACACGTTCCCCAGGCTGGAGGCAGGTTCAGGTCAAACCCCCCCCGGGGTGGAGGACCCAGAACCGGCCTGGGGGTGCATGCCCAGGAGCAGGGCAGGGGCTGGGAGCAGGAGGGCCCCGGGTGAGGGTCTGGATCATGCTGGGGTCTGGGGCCTACCCGTTGGGGTTCAGCACTAGGGTGGGGCTGCTGTGTGTGTGTATGTGCATGTATGTGTGTTCGTGCATGTGTGTACACGTTTGTGCATGTGTGGGTGCATGTGTGTGTGCGTTACGCATGTGTGCATGTGTTCGTGCATGTGTGTATGTGCTTGTGCGTGTGCATGTGTGCATGTATGTGCATGAGCTTGTGTGTGTGCATGTGTGTGCATGTGTGCCCGCGTGTGTGCATGTGTTCATGCATGTGTGCATGTGTGCATGTGCACGTTTGTGCATGAGGGTGTTCGTGCTTGTGTGCATTTGTGTGCACGTGTGCCCGCGTGTGTGCATGTGTGTGCATGTGTGTGTGTGCTTGTGCATGCGTGCATGTGTGTGCACGTGTGCTTGTGTATGCATGTGTGCCCGCATGTGTGCGTGTGTTCGTGCATGTGTGCGTATACACGTATTGTGTGTGTGTGCATGTAGGTGTGTATGCATGTGGGTGCACATGTATGTGTGTGCACATGTTTGTGTGTGTGCTTGTCTGCATGTGTATGTGTGTGCTTGTGTATGCATGTGGGTGTGCATGTATGTGCACACGTGTTTGCATGCGTGCTTGTCTGCATGTGTGTGCATGTGTCCATGTGTTTGTGTGTGCGTGTGCACGTGTGTGCATGTGTGTGCACAGCATGCGTGAGTGTCTAGGCGGATCTGTGCCTGTCCTGTGTGCAGCTTGTGTCCACGGCATTCCTTGTGGTTAGCTGTGTGGGTCTATGCATTGCCTTGTCGAGCAGGGTCATGCGTGCCTCTCTGGGCTTCTGTGTATGTGTGTGTGTGTGTGTGTGTGAGAGAGAGAGAGAGAGAGAGAGAGAGACTTGTGTTTTCACGTGTGCTGCAGGCTTCTCAGGACACCCTGCATGCCCGCTGCCTGTCTGTGGCCACGTGGCGTTGCATGTTTGCGCGTGTGTGCCCCTTGCTGCCTGCATGTCTGTGACTGTGGCCTCAGGAGCAGCTACGGCCGGGCCAGCAGCGTCCTGTGCTGCTGAACAGCTCGGGCATTTGTCACCTGGTCTGATTTTATGAACTGCCCTTAAAGTGGTTTGATTTTGCCCACGTTGGTGGCCAGCAAAGCCGCAGCCCGTGCTCGTCCTCAGTAGCTTCTGTACCGCGCGTGTGGTGTGGCCTTCCTGGCCACCATTATCACTGTAAGACACGTGCGGCAACCGACTCCAGCTTGGCAGGTGGCTGGCGAGGTCATTAGACGAATGAGGATTCACAAGGGCCTGCTGGGCTTGGAGCTCTTCCTGCTGGCGCAGGACCCCGGCCCGTCCTCCCACACCCATACACAGAGTGTTCTGGAAGGCCCCATGGCCAGCAGGTGTGGTGGTGCAGGGGCTGGGGTGAGGGGCCGGGCAAGTGACAGGGTCTTGGCCACAGCCTATGGTTGGGCCAGACCTCAGGGACCCGTCTCACCCTGCATGGCAGCATTTAGTTACCACATCATCCCATTCTCCGGACAGGGACACAGGCCCAGAGATGCCAGTGGGCCGCCCGTGGGTGCCCACCTCAGCGACCGGGAGCTGAGAGCCTCAGCCTCCCAGTGTTGTCCTCCATGCAGCCACCAGCCCTTGTCCCGCTGAGAAGAGCCCAGTGTGCCAGTGCCCACGTGCCCTCTGCCTCCGGTAGCGCCAACTTGGCCGCAGCCCCCCAGGCCCTTCCTGACCCTGCTGACGCCCGCCCTGCACACACTGAGCTGTACAGAGATCCACCCTCGCCTTCTCTCTAGCCGGTGTGTGCTGAGCGTGACCACAGCTAGGGTGGGTGCATCGGGGAGGAAGAGGGGAAACCGGGAGTTACTGCTCCCTTCGGGGTGTTAAGCTCAGTATAGAAGGGCAGGAGGCGGGGCCAGGTCGGCGGCAGGGGCAGACCCTGGACGGGGAGCCCGGGAGGTGGGCAGGATGAGGCGCCAGGCTGGCCGAATAGGGCACAGGTTTGAACAGAGGGGCAAGTGAGAGGCCCTGAGGCCCCTGAGGAGGGAGCCTGCCTGCATGCTTGGGAGCAGGCCTGGGACAGGGAGGCCAGGACGCGGGCAGGAGGGGGGCAGAGACCCAGCCAGGTGGGCACTGTGTATGCCCGCCAGCCGCTGGGATCCCACCACCCCCCTCTGTGCCAGGGCTGATACCAGCAGTGTCTTTACCAGGCAGGTTTATGACATTCATTACGCGGCTCCTTGGGCCTTCTTGGCAGCCGTTATTTGTACAAAAGCAATAAAAACCCATCAGCCTC